AGACTTTTATAAGAGGTATAGTCTTATTTCGAAGGACCTGATTACGGCGATTAAGAATTTGTACTAGTTGTTCTTCATAAGAGAGGTCTTCTTGAACTTTTAGGTTCTCATAATTGACAACATGCTCTGGATCCCGAAGATATCGGCAAAGCATTGAAACGTGAAACACATTGTGGACACTAGATAGTTCGGGTGGAAGCGCAAGGCGATATGTCACAGGACCAATCCTTTCTAGTATCTCGAATGGCCCGATGTAACGTGGGTTTACCTTTCCTTGTTTTTCAAATCGGATAACCTCTCTCATTGGTGAGATCCTTAGGAACCCATGATCACCTATTTGAAATTCTAAGTCTCGTCTCTGTGTATCTGCATAGCTTTTCCGGCGACTCTGAGCAGTGCGAATTCGCTGTTGGATGAGTTAAATTTTATCACTTGTAATTTGCACGATCTCGGGGCCTAACAGTTTCCTGTCTCCAACTTCCGTCTAACACAGAGGTGATCAACATTTTCTTCTATATAGTGCCTCGTATGGTGCCATCCCAATACTTGTATGGTAGCTATTATTATAGGCGAACTCCACCAAAGGTAGGTGATCATCCCAATTACCTTTGAGGTCTAACACACACACACACACGTAACATATCTTCCAAAGTCTGGATTGTTCTTTCAGATTGCCCATCAGTTTGTGGGTGATAAGCCGTGCTAAACTTCAGAGTGGTTCCCAAAGCTTCTTGCAATTTGTTCCGGAAATGAGACACAAAGCGCGGGTCTCTATCAGATACGATTGAAATTAGGGTGCCGTGCAAACGAATGATTTCTTTAATGTATAGAGTGGCGAACTTAGTAAGGAAGTACATGATTCTGATTGGTAGAAAATGTGCCGACTTCGTCAATCGATCTATGATAACCCATATTACATCATTTTTCGAGACTGATTGCGGTAGCCCGACCACGAAGTCCATAGTAATGTGCTTCCATTTCCATTCAGGAATAGGGAGTGGTTGCAACATGATGTTCTACTTTAACCTGTTGACAATGCAGCCATTTGGAGACATGGCTTGCTATGTCTTTCTTCATTCCTGTCCACCAGAAGCGTTCCTTCAAATCATGATACATTTTTCGTATTGCCAGGGTGGATCGCAAACCTCGAGTTATGAGCTTCTACCTATATCTTTTTCTTGAGTTCTGGAAGGTCGGGTACGCGAATTCGATTATGAAATTTTAGCATCCCATTGCTGATTGTGAAGTCAGGATCGGGCGTGCCTCCTTATTCCTCATACTTTTTCTTCAAAAGTTTATCTTCACATTGGCGGACTCTAATTTCTTCAATCAACTTGGGTTCGACGATTATGTTGGCAAGCAGTCCATTGATCTTCCGAAAAACGAAGGTACATGCTAAACTTTTGGTCGTCTTTCGACTCAATGCGTCTGCTACTACATTAGCTTTGCCAGGGTGATGATGGATTTCTATATCATAGTCCTTCATAAATTCTAGCCATCATTGTTACCTCATATTCAATTCCTTTTGTGTAAACAGATATTTGAGACTCTTGTGATCTGTGTAAATCTCGCAGGTTACTCAATAGAGATAATGACGCCAGATTTTGAGGGCAAAGATTACTGCGGCTAATTCCAGATCGTGGGTTGGGTAATTCTTCTCATAGGTCGTTAGTTGACGTGAGGTATATGCAATGACCTTCCCATTTTGTATAAGAACGCAACCCAAACCATTGTATGAGGCATCACTATAAATTACGAACCCTTCTGTTTCTGCGGGGAGTGCTAGTATAGGAGCCGTCACGAGTTTCTTCTTCAATTCTTGGAAACAATGTTCCTGCTTGTCCGTCCATTCAAAAGGTGTGTTCTTCTGAGTTAGCTAGGTCAAGGGTGACGCTATCTTTGAGAAATCCTGCACGAAGCGTTGGTAATAGCCGGCTAGACCCAAGAAGCTTCGAATCTCGGACACGTTAGTAGGTCGTGGCCAATCCACGATTGCTGCAACCTTTTGGGGGTCAACTGAGATGCCATCTTTGTTAATGACGTAACCGAGGAAGTGTACACTAGTGATCCAGAAGTCACATTTCTTCAATTTGGTATAAAGCTTGTCATCACGTAGTGTCTGTAGAACTCTCCGCAAGTGGCACTACAAGAAAAAACACTTTTGGCGACTAAATTTTTAGTCGCCAAAAGTCCTCTTTTAGTCGCCAAATGTAGAATTTTCACTTTTCCCGACTAAATATTTTAGTCGCCGCTGTGGTCGCCAATACACGGTCGACAATACCTTTGGCGACTAAAGATTAGTTAGTCGGCAATATACAGGTCTTCAGCGACTAAAGTTTTAGTTGCCAATAGTCGATTCCATTTGTGAAATTATACATTTAGCGACTAAAGTTTTAGTCGCCAATAGTGTTTTTTTTTTAATTATTTATACAATTGGCGACTACTTTTTTCGTCGGCAATTGTCACTCTTTTTGGCGACCACAGTATTTTGTCACCAAAAGCATTCTTCAAAAAAAATAAAAAATTTCCCACTGTGCCTCAGCATCTCCCACGCTTCGAACCTGCAACCTCCAAGCTCCAAACCTTAACGACACACGCCACCCCACTATGCCACTCAACCATCACATGAATATAATTGCAACTTATATTATTTATATATTACTTTCAACATAATATATATAAATATAATTATATATATTCAAATATAATTTTATGTAAAAAATAAATTATTTTATTAAAAAAAAAATTTAATCTCAGTTTTGGCGACTAAATCCATTATTTAGTCGCCAATTCTACAATTTTAGGCTACTAATTAATTTTGTAGTCGCTAAAAAAAAATGTTGCTCCTAAAAAACACACCTTTTGGTGACTAAACCTGTTTTTAGTCGCTAAAAACGTCCCCTTTTGGCTACTAAACTGAATTTTAGTCGCCAATACTCAGTTTTTAGCTACTAATTTTTTTTTTTGGTGGCCAAAAAGCTTCACTTTCAGCGACTAATCTGGTTTTAGTCGCCAAAACACCTACAATCAGCGACCAATCTGCTTTTTAGTCGCCAAAACCAGCACCTTTGGCTACTAAATTGTTTTAGTCGGCAAAAACCATCACTTTTGGCGACGATTTTGGCTACTAAACTGAATTTTAGTCGCCAATACTCAGTTTTTAGCTACTAATTTTTTTTTTGGTAGCCAAAAAGCTTCACTTTCAGCGACTAATCTGGTTTTAGTCGCCAAAACACCTACAGTCGGCGACCAATCTGCTTTTTAGTCGCCAAAACCAACACCTTTGGCTACTAAATTGTTTTAGTCGGCAAAAACCATCACTTTTGGCGACGAAAATTGTGTTAGTCGCTGAAACCCATATAATAGGCGACCAAACTGATTTTTAGTCGCCAATACATATACATTTGGCTACTAAATGGTTTTAGTCGCCAAAAGTCTTCATTTTTGGCGACTAAAATGGATTTAGTCGCCATTTGTGCAACTTTCAGCGACGAAATTCATTTTTTTAGTCGCCATTGGTGCTTTTTGTTGTAGTGTGGTGCTCATGATCTTCTGGTGATTTGGAGTATATGAGAATGTCATCAATGAAGACAATGACGAACTCATCAAGAAAGGGTTTGAACACTCAATTCATGAGGTCCATGAAGGCTGCTGGAGCATTTGTGACGCCAAATGGCATGACGAGAAACTCGTAGTGGCTGTAATGAGTTTTGAGGGCAGTCTTTTCAATACTTTCCGTTTTAACTTTTAGTTGATGGTAGCCAGAACGCAAGTCAATTTTTTAGAATACTTAGGCGCCTTGCAGTTGTTCGAACAGGACATCGATTCGTGGCAGAGGGTACCAATTTTTTATGGTGACTTTGTTCAGCTCCCGATAATCGATGCATAACCTCATCGTGCCATCATTTTTCTTTACGAATAATACTGAAGCTCCCCATGGTGAGGTACTTGGTCGAATGAAACCTTTGTCCAATAGTTCATGGAGTTGAGTCTTTAGCTCTTTTAATTCTGTCATGGACATACGGTAAGGAGCTTTTGAGATTGGTTGTGTACGAGATTAGGTTTCAATGGTGAATTTGATTTCTCGGTCAACCAGGGTGCCAGGTAGGTCTTCAGGAAATACATCCGGGAATTCTTAAACCACAGGGATTGCATCAAGTGTGAGGGCCTCTTGTTGAGTATTGATCACATAACAGATATAACTACAACAACCTTTTCTTAAAAGCTGTTGGGCTATCATGAAGGATATAACATATGGAGGGGGAGAGATTTCGGTTCTTTTAAAGACAAGCTCGAGTTGGTTTGGTGACCGGAGGAAGACCTTTTTGGCTTCATAATCAATAGAGGCATGGTTGGCAACTAACCAATCCATTCCTAAGATCACATCAAAGGTACTAATGCAGAGAGGAATCAAGTCTGTGTAAAGTTTCCCCTTTTAAGGACACAATACAAGATTTGTACACATCAGCACTGAGGGCGGAGTTTCCAGAAGGAAAAGACACAGATAGTATGTATCCTAAGGGTACGGGTATTGATGCCAACTTGGTAGCAAAGTGTGGTGTAATAAAAGAATGAGTTGAACCAGAGTCAAAGAGAACATGGGCTAAGTGACCACAAATAGAAAGTGTACCTGACACAACATTCTCAGTAATTTCTGGGTTTCTAGGCACCAGGGCAAAGGCTCTTCCTTGGCGTTTTTGGTCCTTTCTCACTCCTCCAGGTACCGTAGGTTTTCGGACTGATTCAGAGGGCTTGGCTGTAGGATTGGCAAGTTTGGAACAATCTCTCAGCAAGTGGCCAACTTGGCCGCATCTAAAGCATGCTCTCGTGTCTCAACGACATTGTCCCCAATGAATCCTTCCACAGGTAGAGCAAGTTGGAATGGTGCTACCTCTGGGATTTGTAGGACCTTGATTGCTTGAACAGGTTGAATTGGTTGTGCCCGTATTTACTCTCTTGGGAGGCCCGACACCGGGTCTTCTATTATTTCTTTCCTAAAATCACTTCCTCTGGCTTGGTTCCCCGGAGCACAAGGCCTTAATCCCTTTTTCCGTAATGTAAGCTCGATCTACTACCGCCGCATAGGTTGGTAGTTTCAAAACCTCCAACCTATCCTTGATTTCAGGATCCAATCCTGTTTCAAATTTCTTGACTTTTCGAGCTTCAGTGGGGATGACATATGTCGTGAATCGGGCCAGTTGGCGTGAACTTGCTTTCGTATTCGGCCACTGTCATGGTTCCTTGCCTTAGATGTATAAATTCTGACGCTTTTTGTTCCTGTAGTGAATCTGGAAAGTATTTTTCATGGAATACCTCCAAGAATCTGGCCCAAGTCACAATATCTTCTTTCTCCAGGGTAAGTAGCCACCCTTCTTGTGCATTGTCTTTGAAGGTGAATGTGGCGAAAGTCACCTTCTGCCTTTCTGTGCAAGGTAGTGCGCGGAAAATTTTCTCCATATCTCTGACCCAAGCTTTTGCCACCAATGGGTTTGTACTGCCAATGAATATGGTAGGTTTCAAGTCCTGGAACTGTTTTATTGTAGTTGGCTCTTCTCGTCGTTCAGGTAATTCGTTATTAACGTTGGTTTGTACGGCTCGCAGAAAACTAGTAACTGCTCTTTCTATGATTTGCTTCATTGGATCAGTACCGTTGACCGAGGATTCGGTTCCATTTACATCATTAGCCATTACTACAAGGTAAAATGATATAAGCATGACATCACATTGATACAACGTCATATATAACGTATTAGCTTTATTAGTTTTACTATCACATTAATACCACATGAAACATCATATATACGTCATTGTTACTATACATAAGGCGTTAGTTCAGTCATCAAGAGTTAATGTCTAATCCTACTGATACAAAAATATAAGGATTAGACTAGTCATTGTCAGCTCCAAAAAAAAAAAAAAAAGACACAAGATCAACAACATCTCTCAGTCATGCTCCTAGAATAGGTCATTGAGCCCCCATGAAAACTAGCTCTGGAACACTGGGCCGTGGAACAGCCATGGGAACTCCTGCTATACGAGGGATTCAAACTCCCATCCACTGAGCTTAATCCCAAAACAGCGCCAAACTACCTAGACCATGTAGACCAGTACACTGTGGTCATATCCCCAAAACTGCCACCCAGTGAGCTGCACCGACATCTTTAAATATGTGGTACTGTCAGTGTAGTCCACAATTGGGGTCTGGACAATGTGTTGTGGAGGAGGTGTAGTAGTGCGAATATGGCTACTAGGGTATAGATTCCCTCTCTTCTCGGCAAAGCTTGGGGGTAAGGGAGCAACCAAGAAATGCGGATGTACCAATCTGACGACGTGCGTCGGTCCAATGTATCTCTCTCGGGTGCTGGCCCAGCTAAGTCTCCAAAACAAGTAGTCCTCATCATGGTCGGCCTGCAAATATACTGGCCTCCCTATGAGTCGGTCAAGGTCGGGGTAGGTCGGTCTGATAGTATTTTTTGAGTCCGCCAATCTTTCCAACAGGTTAGGGCCAGATGCACTCCCTGGGGCTCGAACCAAATCAATTCTTCCTGGTGTGCCATGTCCTACAACACAGGAAAACTTAGCCTACCCAATATTTATTTAAATCATGTTAGGCACAATATTTTATTTATTTATTTTATATTATGACAATATATATATATATATATAATTAAACAATTATGATGTTGGACAAAATATAGTATTATTCATTTTTATTTTATGACAATATATATACATATTTATTAATAGACACTCAAGGTTTTTTTTTTTTTTTTTGAAATAATTTTCGATTCAAATGATGTGAATTGCAAATAATGTGAACAATTGTACAAAAAAATTCAAAAACATATACAATTTTTTTTTTAAAAAAAAAAAAACCATTGCTCTGATACCACTTTTGTCGCAACCCAAACTCGATACCCAAAGGTTCGGCGTCACAACAAGATAAAATAAAATAATTCTAAAATTTCTGTAGTGGTAGCGTAACGGATAAATTAAATAAATCAAAATAAAATGATTGGGTACCAAAAGTTTATTAAAAGAAACAAAAAAAAATCATTTGGGCTTTTATTTTATTACAAGAGTCCAATCAAAATACAGATAGAAATCTTTAAAAAAAAAGAAATAAAATAAAAAAAACAACACAGTAGTTCATTCCCCATCGTGATCCTGTTAAGTCTCTCATCACCTTAAAGGGGTAACAGCTATAAGCACATAGCAGAATGAGAAATATTATACTACGTGTATAGGGGCACAAAATAGCCATGGATAATTATTTAGCTAAAACATTAATATAATTTAAGTTGCACAAATAAATTATTTAAGTGGCAGAAACCGAAATAAAAATTACGAAAATAACTATAACCACGGTACAGAACAGAACAAAACAGGGGTCACTGGAGTGACAATCAGAATAGGGGTCAATGGATCCATGACAAACAGTGGACCACAAAGTGGCCAAACAGGGGCCAATAGTTATTTAAATCCTCCAAGGCATAGGACTCCCGTTGTGGTAATTACAGAAAATAATTGTCTAGAAGATTATTGTTAAATAATTTTTAAAATCTAAACAAACATATCCATGGGTTTCAATTTAAGCAAATGGAGTTCAGAAAATAATCCACATAATTGAAACATTAACATAACCATAAAATATAAATTATATAAAATAAATTATGATAGCTCAAAACATTCGTAAAATATAGTATGGTAACTCAAGACATATTTAAAACATATTATGGTAGCTCAAGATATAATATAACTCACCTTAAGATTGACCCTTAGCCTTTATTTTCCTACTACAACTCTCAGCTATACATATTGAACATATTAGTCCTTCTTATTTGTGTCATAATTTAAACAGATAAAATATTTTTTTTTGTTTTTGTTTGGTTGAAGTAGATATATTTTTGTTCTTGTGTGGGTGATTTTTGTGTTTTCTGTTTGGTTGCTGAGAAAGTTGAGTTATTTAATAATGGAGCAAATTTACACAGATAGATTCACACAAATAATAAGTTTAATAGTGAATTCCAGCAGATACATTAAAATATCACAATAATATTTTAATAAATAATTTCTATAGATAGATTTTTTTTATTTAAAAAAATGATAGTTTCAACAGATAAAATTTTAACAGATAGATAGATTTTTGAACAAATAATTTCAAAAGATAGATTTTTATGAAAAAAATTCAATAGATAAGTTAAAAAATTGAACAGATAAAAAATATTTGAACAGATAGACAAAAAATTGAATAGATAGATAGATAAAAAAAATTTGAACGTATAGGTATAAATTTGAACAGATAATCAATGAAAAGTCAACAAATAAAAAAAGTTAACAGATAAATTAAGAGATAAAATTGGAAATGAAATGTCCTTCAAATCAATAAAAATGGCTTTTCATCAAATTATTTCATAAAAAGTGAACCTCTTACCAAAAAATATCCACTGGATTTTATGCCTTATACCATCTTTTCATTAGATTTATCACCAATTTACTCATTAAATAATTTGTTTATTAAGCTCCATTTATTTCGAAATAAAATATTTTATACAAAAATATTTTTCTTGTAAATTGGCTTTATATAAAAAAATTATTTTTATTTTTATTTTTTAACGTTGGTTAACACTTGAAACAAAAATATTTTATTGACTAAAAGAGAAATTTTGATTCAATAAAGTGTCATTTTTCATTTTTTAGTAAGATAAGATACTTATTTGAAAAGAGTAAATGTGTTGAAAATATAGTGAGTGAGAGTCGTAAAAATTGATTTATGAAATTTTTAAAGGTAAGTCATTTTTGAAAAAATGATGCAAAAATATTTTTCTTAAAAAATGTTTTACCTACTTTTTGTTCAACCAAATAACTATAAATGAGTAAAATATTTTTGATAAAACATTTCACGTCCAAACGAAAGGAGTCTAATGTAGAGTTGTGTTTGGCATGGTGCTATTTTCACATTTTTAAATTTCATTTTCTTTTTGTTTATTCATTGAGGGTGTACTCAAAGAGAAAAACGATATTCATGCATTTTTAATAAAAACAAATTATATTCACAAATAAAATTTGTATATAAAAGTATTAAGTTTGTAACATAAATTTAGAATACAGAAAAATGTTGAAAGTTCAAGCTAAGGAGAGGTATATGACATTAGATTCAATTTTTTTTTTTTTTGTTAGTGAAAATTCCACCATTTGTAAATAGTTTGGTGAGAAATCTTGTTGTTAGTATTGAAAGGCATTTTGTTGCAATTTTACCCCTTAATTTATTTGTTGATTTTTTTATCTGTTAAATTTTTATAACTATTTATTCAAATTTATATCTATCTGTTCAAATTATTTTCTATTTGTTCAATTTTTTTTTTGATTATTTGTTAAAATTTATATCTATCTGTTTAAATTTTCTTTTATTTGTTCAAATTTTTAACTATCTATTTAAATTTTTTGACTATCTATTCATTTTTTTTATCTTTACAATTTTTTTTTTGTTTGTACAAAGTTCTGTCCATTTGATTAGGTCAACATTTGAACCCCTATTTTATCTTTGTAGAGAGGGGTTCTATGTAAGTAATGATTAGAGAGACAAAACTATGATAATGGTCCAACAATAGTGGAATGATTGAAGAATGAGTAACTAGGTGAGGGTGAAGCAAGTAGCTCAAAGAAGAAGAGAGTGTCAGTGTACAAAAGGGCAACATCTCCTCCAAATCCCCAAAATTCCTCTCTTGGACCTTGAGAACTTGGGTCCTATTTGTAAGCTTTTCTTGGTACCAAGAGGACACCAAGTGGCCAAATAGAGAGAAGACATATGTCCCTAAGGATCACATGGAATATTCTACCTTGAGTCACTAGGTTGAAGGTGCCACGTATCCCTCTACATGTACTGTGTACTATATGTTTGGCACAGATGCCTCAACAAGTGCAGTTACAGCGGGAGTGTTTGGCATTGTAACTACCTTTTGAGCCTCAGCAAGTGCAGTTGTGGTGGGAGTGTTTGCCGATGCATTTGCCTTTTCAGCTCGAACCTCAGCAAGTGCACTTGCAACGGTAAACCTTGCTAGTGCACTTGCTTTTTCAATTCTATTTAGCTAGTACATACATTCTCTAGACTTCATAGGTTGCTATTAGCCATGTTTTCATGTTCACCTCAACGAAGCCTCCACCCTTAGCCGCCTAACCACAAACTCCCCAGCTTTCCAGGACGAAGGCCATAGCTAAGCCTGCTATCAGCCATGCTGTGCATTAGTACCATGCCCAAGGGGGCTTCATTGGTCCTGTCTATGTGACTAAGGTAGGTCCATGACCGTAGTAAATGTAAAGGGAGTCCAATGTGCTCGGGCTACCCTGTTCCCATCTTCGCAGGGTTGCAGCGGTATGCTGGTATCTCTGGGCCTGCTATTAACGCCAAACTAATGAACTTTGGGGCATGTTATCAGCCCTAGGCTTGTAGTGCTTTAGGGCTTGCTATCAGTGCCAAGCATTAGCGTCTACTTATGGAGGGGAAGCTTCTCCTAAAGACTGCTATTACCTTGGCGAGATGTTTCCTCCACAAATTAGTTGTTGTGACTATAGTTGTTGTGGCAGTCATTTTCCGCAGCAAGTTCAGATGGCAGTCACGACAATATTAGAGATAGTGGTGCCGACAAAATGCCTCCGCAACTTGGTCGCTGCAAGTGTTGCCTCTGCAA